TAAATTAGAAAATAGCATCAACCAAAACACTTACTTTTGAGGTTTGGAGATTTGAGCTTTGTAGTTTTTTATAGGCTTAGAGAAGGAAGATTAAGAGTTCTAGTTGTTACAAATATTTTTTTTTAAATTTATACTAAATTTAAATATAATAAATATAACTAACATTTTAATAACTAATAGTAGAATATGAAAAGTTTTATATGTGTTAAAATTTAATTTGGTTTTTATATGAAAAGGAAAACAAAAAGGTGTATCTCTATCCCTTCTCCTTTATGATTTAATATATATATATATATAACGGAAATTAATAATGAAAGAAAAGAAAAGGATAAGGTAAAATAATTGTATACAATTAGGAAAATAGAAGGGCATTGCACATAAAAAAAATTAAAAGACTAAAAAAAATGGTAACCACACAAATACTTATTATGTAATGTATTACAATCTTATACATTTATTTTTCATAAATTTTAAGTATTACAATATAATTATTTGTTTTCATAGATTTAATTTCACTATCTTGATTATAAATACCAATGGGAATGGGGTGGGCTAATGTTGGGGGGTGTAAATATAAAATGCTACCCTATTTAATGCATAAGGTAGCATTATATATATATATATATAGATTAAGTAATTTAGTTAATTTTAAAATAAAATTATAAATCAAATTATTTATATTGATGACATGACAAATCATTGCCCTAAATTTTGGTTCTAAAATTTTAATCTCATTTATCATGAAAAAATATAACATTTGCTCTGTGTGTGTGCTGCCAGGAACATGGTTGACTGCAACTGCACATATCATAACAACTGTAATAGGATCAGGAGTTCTATCACTTGCTTGGAGTGTTGCTCAGTTGGGATGGATTGGTGGCACCATTGCTCTAATTGCCTTTGCTCTCATCACCTGGTTCGCCTCTTCCTTACTTGCCGATTGTTACCGTGACCCGGTGACTGGAAAAAGAAATCATGGCTACAAGGAAGCTGTGAAATCTGTCTTAGGTGATGATCTGAATATCTGTCCATTTTATTCAACATTTTTTTTCAATTATATTTTCATAGTAAATGGCTTTAATACTACACAGGAGAACTCCAGTTCAAGTTTTGTGCGGTTGTTCAATATGTGACTCTTCTGGCAATAAGCATTGGATACACAATCACTCCAGCTATTAGCATGGCGTAAGCGATTACTTAAACTCAAATTCTCTGTCTTTCCCTCTCATGAGGTAACTATTATTGACGCCATTTTTGGTGGAAACAGTGCCATGATAAGATCCTACTGCTTCCATAAGGAAGGCCATGATGCGGGGTGTCATGTATCAAACAACAAATTCATTATAATCTTCGGCGCCATACAGCTTTTTCTAAGCCAAATTCCTGATTTTCATCAGCTCGCCGGCCTTTCTACCATTGCTGCTACTATGTCTTTTGCATACTCTACCATAGGCCTCTGTCTCACCATCGCCAAAATTGTAGGTAAGAAACCAAGTTTACAACAAAATGACAGTCTCATTTTTTCCTTATTTAGTTTGGTATACGCAAACTTATTCAAGGTACATTGGTAAAACCTTGAATAAATCATAGGTAGGGCAGATTCCTTTAAAATGATATTTTAAGATGGTGATTTGCGCCTTTCAACTTTTTTATTAGATACTAATTTGTTTCAAGTCGAAAATATTATGAGACAAGACCTGCAAATTTAACCATTTGTAGATGCCGGATGCCCTTGAATATGGCTGTAGAGTCACATCCAAAGGGCTTGGTTATGGGGTCCGGATTGACATTTTTTTTTCGAGTCCTCCTCACTGAAAACCGCAACCCCTAAATATATAGCGAGCTACGTTTTTTGATTAACCTAAATATATAACTAGTAATATACAATTTGCAGAAGGGAAGCATGTAACTACAAGCATAACAGGACTAATAGTAGGAGTTGATGTGACAAGTTCAGAAAAATTGTGGAACTGCCTAGTGGCCATTGGAAACATTGCCGTTGCCTACACTTTCTCTGTTATTCTAATTGAGATACAGGCAGGTTTTTGTTTTCTTTTCTCAGAAACACTGGAATTGGAGCGATCATTTTACTTCAAACTGAAGCAAATGTGATGCTAAGTGGATGTTTGATGGCATTACAGGACACATTAAAATCAAATCCACCAGAGAACAAAGTGATGAAGAAGGCTGCTGCTGTAGGGATCTCCATCACCACCATATTCTACATGTCATGTGGGCTTCTAGGCTACGCGGCATTCGGAAACAATGCACCAGGCAACTTCTTGACAGGATTTGGATTCTATGAACCTTTCTGGCTCATCATCTTGG